CATTATTACTCTCTTGGATCTAATGTTCACTGACGGTCCACGGTTTTAAAGTTAAATCAACTAACAATTGTAGGAAAAGGGGCCAGAAGGGCAATGTAGCCTCAAGAAATTCAAGACTAGCACTGCTCTCATCATGAAAAATAGTCATGATAAAGTACAATAATGTGATCAAATGTATAACCGCAATTAAATGTTAATTGATAACAACGTTTAATTTATAACATTAATTTCTTACTTTACCAACTCAATACTATATAAACGATCTGCAAATTTTCCCACATGTAGATGGAAGGTAATTTTTCTACCATAAAATGAGTGCTAAAAAGGCTTCGCTGGAACAAAATTTATTTCCTCTCTCATAAGAAACAAAAAAATTTCAAAACTATTATTAGCTGTCTGCTTCCTAACACATCAAGTTCACTGGATTCAGGAGCATGGGCCACTGCATAAGAAGGCCTTTAAGAGATTCGGGGGGTGCTTCGATTACAGTTCGTTCCTGCCTCCTCAACAGGAAGCAGTGCTTGCTAAAACAGGTCCAGAAGGAAACATCAAAGATGAGTAACTGTGACAGCCTCTGGGAAGAGAGTGGTTGAACATAGGGATGAAAGTGAGTTTCTTTTCACTTACCTACTCTTTTCTGCCTTTTTATTTGTGTGCCATGTGTATCCAGTGTAATGGCTGTGCTTAATTAAATAAGTTTAATAAATTAAAAGGGCTTCAGTTTTCCTGTATAAAAAGTATACCACACCAATCCCAAGAGAAAGTGATTACTCACGCTCTCTCCCGAAGAAGTTGTCAGGGCCTGAGACAGGCTACCCCAAAATACTCCACAATGGCATATTGATTACTTCGAATTAAGGTTACTTGACAAGCAACCAGTACCAGAAGGGCACTTTGACCCTCCCATCTCCTTGAGCGCTGGAAATAAATCTCCCCTGTGAAAGGTGCCCTCCCTGCTCCAGGATGGCTGAGAGAGATCTTATCACAAGAGCCAAGAGATCCAGAGCCAAAGGGCTTATATATAAACACTTTACTGATTTACTACCCAGGCCCAAACTTTGTTTAGATTCCTCACTAATGAATACTCAAACCTTGCTTAGATTCCTAATGAGCACTATATCTTTTGTGCTGTCAATTCTTCACAAATATTGTCTCTAAACCATTAAAAGGTACCTGATTCGATCGTTTATTTCAGCCTCATTTCATGATCTGAGCATCCTATTGTGATTCTCCCATGCACATATTAAGTTGGTTTTTCTCCTATAGATCTAATCTTGTGTCAGTGTGATTGTTTTACTATTAATCCAGCTGTAAGAACTTAAGCGAGGTAGAGGAGAATTCTCTCCTTCTCCAAAAAGGTCCTTTGAAACAAAACTGAAGGTTATGCATTTCTGCACAAAATGTAAAACAAGGGTTTTCTTCTATCCAAAAAGAAAAAAAAAAAGTTTTCTTTAAAGGCTACCCTTAAACCAAACTTGTAAACAGTATCTACAAGCCCTCGCTTGAAGGCTAAAGACAAAAGGTAAAGAGGATCTTAAAAGACAAGCTATAAAGTCTGAACTTATTTTGTGCAACGAGGATTTTCCAAAGGGTTTTTTGCATTCTAGGACCACAGCTGTCCTTTAAGATGATTATTTACTAAGCAGCATTGTGTGTGATGATCAAGTACAAAATGGAATCTCTAAGACCAGTCACTCACATGAGGCTGTTCAAATAGTTCAAGGAGGTGGCAAGAAATGAATAGTGCAGACAACACAGTTATAAACTCGAAAACTAAGTAAGTGATCTTAAGAGAATCCAAGGGAAATCCTAAGGAACGATCGATGATACCAAAAGCCTAGGTGACCTGGACAGATGGTGCTATCACTGAGGAACAGGAAATATTGACCGAATTGAATCTCTGTAACAAACATACTAACATGTACACTTAATTTTAAAAATAAAGACTAAGGTTTTTAAAAAAACCTAACTTTCAGTTGGTAATGGTGCCAAGAAACAACATTCTAATACACTGTAGGTGGGAAAGTAAACTGTAGTATACAACAGGAGTCCCCAATCCCTGGCCGTGGCCTGTTAGGAACTGGGCCACACAGCAGAAGGTGAGTGGCAGGCAAGCGACTGAAGCTTCATCTGTATATGCAGCCGCTCCCCAGCGCTAGCATCACCGCCTCAGCTCCACCTCAGATCGTAAGGTATTAGATTTTCAAAGGAGTACCTGTCCCTAATGGCAAAAAAGGTTGGGGATCAAACTGGCAAGCTGCTTATAATGCTTAAGAACATGCATAACCTTTAACTCATTCATTTCAACTTAGGTATTTACCAAAGCAGAGGAAAAACACTAGAAAAGTAAAGCCCAAAATCTTATGTTAAAGCCCATCCTTATGTCATAAGCTTATAAACTAATTTTCTTTGTGTTTTTGTGATTTCTCCAAACTTCTCTTACAAAAAAAGTATGTTGTTTTTGTTTTTAAAACATCATATTTTACCATATTACTACTATCCTATAGATAAACATTTCTTACTTATGACAAATGAGACTAGTTGGGCACAGGACAGAAAGTACAGAAGATACTGAGGGAAAAATATCTATTAATCATCAGGATATAATGAATACTTGTGATGTTCAGGCACTATTTGGGGGAAAAATAAAATCTCAAAATTTTATGCCAAAATATAGCTGACATTCAGACTCAAAGGGTAAAAAAGTTTTATACTTTGACTAAGTTAATACTGAGTTACCACTACTTTGCTAAATCAGTTTTTTCTTGTATGCTTGGGCTTGGTATCAACACTGACACAGAACACTACTCTGGCATACTCCAATATCCATTTCAACTGAAAGCTTTTGATGAAACAATACAGTCTGCCATCAAACAGATGAACATGTAAATTAAACTGTACTTTGCTATTAAAATCTAATCTTTACAGTATATAATCATTTTATAAAATGATCTTCTAGAAATAGTATCTTAGAGGGAAAAATAAATCTATTTTGCCTTTAAGTATATTTTCTCATATACTGCCAAATAAAATAATATCCAAGTACCATATTTTAAATATTTTACAAAAACAAAATTACAAACTAATTTTCCAAGAGAAAAGCAAATGCAACCAAGTTTTTGTGTGAGCACTGACATCAGAAGCTTTCATCTGAGAAACTAAGGTAGAGCTGATAAAGCAAAAGTGAGACTATTTGACCACAAAAATAAAAACTAGCAAAGACCCTCTTTGAAGCCTAATGTTCTATAGAGGCTTTTCTCCCCAATATCAGAGCTAGGACTGAGCTAAAAGTCCAGGAAAATGCTGCCAAGACTTAAAATACCTGGAGTTGCTCAGCCAAACTCATGAAACCCTGGGTATTAAGCAGAAGATCAGAATTTATAATTTTACAGAAACTAGCTGAAGGCAAAGGTGACAGGAAAGCAAAAGATAAGACACCAGTAGTCTGATGTATACTTACTGTGCACTGTTGAATGTTAGAACAGCCATTTGAGGAGTAATATTTCATCTAGGCTATATATGCTGCAACAACTAAAGTTAAAAATTTTCTTTATATTTCATTTAGTTGGCAAAGCATACAGTTTGAAACTCCACTGTAACTATCATCAACCATTAGAATCCATACCATCTACAAAAACTGTTACCGACAATGCTTAAACATCATTAGGAAATTATACAGATTAAGCTTTCATTTATTATAGTAAGAAGGCCGTGAATTATTCTCATATTATAGTAGAAGAAATTAAGGCCCAGATATGCTAATCAATTTATTAAATCATCTCATGAGAAACACCATGTATGCTGAGCTCCTTAAATCATATCAAGAAGCTGACAAGAAATTACACTAATAGAGCCTGTCATCACTACTGTTTATGCCATAAACACAAAAAACACTGTCAGAAAAATTTTTTAAAACGTAGGTAGGTAGGAAGGTTGGTAAGTGGGTGAATGGAAGGATGGTAAATAAGACCTCTGACCTTAAAAGAAAGGAACAATACCTAGGATATCTGCAGGGTTACCCAAATCTTGGATGCATCCTGAGATGGAAAAGTCAAAGGGACTTAAGTTTACCTACTTAAGGTAGATAAACTACATTACTTAGGAACAGCTACCAGTACTTCTAACTTTCCCTAATAGCCCTATTTTCTTCAATTTTAATTCTCCAATATCTTAAACTGTCTAACCTACAGACTAAAGGTTGCCTTTTTCCAAACTTGAAAATATTTATTGACTTCTTTTAGCTATAAATCTTCTCCTAGAATGACAGATTATTAAACACAAAGATTTTGATAAATTAGCTTTTCTTATATTTTAAAGTTATAAATGGGTAAGAGCCCTGAATTGGGGGAAATACACTTCCAGATGCTTGAGAAAGGAATACTAGATTATTTTGTGAACATCTTAGCTACTACTTCCCCTGATTCTGACATTCAGCAAGTCACGTAATCTATATATACCTGAGTTTCCTCATTTGTAAAATAGAATTAATAATGGTTCCTACATCAAAGAGTTGTCATATGGCTTCAACGCTGTAATATAGATAAAGTACTTTGAACAGTACCTGGCTAATAGCTATTGAGTCCTTACATTGTAGAAGGCAGCTGTAATAATAGAAAGCAGAATGAATCAAGGATGGCAAGATGTAATCTGAGTTCAAGCTCTAGGACACATTCACTTTATGTCCTTGAAAAACCATTCAGTTTCTATAACTGACTGAACCATATGTATAATCTGGCCAATACTACTTTCATCAGCTCCTGGAGCTCCTAAAATGTAATGTATGTCGAATGTCTTTTATCTACTATAAAAAGCTATTATTTAGGCTGTAACATCTTACTTGCCAAAGCAAAAAAATATAACTAAGCAGTTAAAATGTCAGACTGCATAGTTAATTTAATTTTCATTCAGAATGTACTTAGTCTTGTGTTAGAAATAATGCTAACAAGACTACTTATTTGGTTTTTCATCCACAGCAAATGAAAAGCTAGAAATCAAGGAGGTAAAAGACAGAGAAATTTAATGGCAAAAATAAAAGGCAGCCAACTAGAAAGAGAAATCATTCAAAGCATCTAAACTTCAAAGACAGATGACATTTATTACAGAAATAAACAGACGTAAATACCCCCAAGGGATTCTTGAAGACTCTTGACCAGTATTGGGCAATAAATTAAGATAAACTATACACACACACACAGTAATACATGTCATACCCTAGTATAAGCCCTTTACAAATCTGAATTATTCCTTTCAGTTTACGAAACACTTTCAACATTTTCTCATTAGGTCTGAATAACCATCAGGTAAATAGAGCAGAGATAAATCTACCCTCAAAGCTGTTGTGAGGATCACACATAATCTAACCAAACCATCCTGCCACAGAGTCTTGTAAACAGTAGGTGTTCAAACAACATTAATGATTTTTCTTACAAATAAGACATTGACACTTAAAATAACGAAGAAATATGTACAAGTTTATGAAGCTAACTGGTCTTCTTTCTAGCCTCACTTCTGTGCTCTTCTCTCACCAACACACTATTAATTTCTAAAAAGCATTTACTAACCTAGTTTCCTCATGATTCATTTTAAAGAAAATTTCTGTACCACAGGACAGTATTTATTCATTCACTGTATCTGAGTCACTGTTCTAGGCGCTTGCAAATATTGCAGTGAACAAACCTGACATTGGTCCTGCTCTCAGGAAGTAGGTATTTCAGTGTGAGAAGACAAGCAAGTAACAAGTATAAGACAATTTCGAACAGTAACAAGGGCCCAACAGGGTGACATAAGGATCAGTGAACAGATGGGGCCACTTTAGATCAGTCGGAAGGTCCCTGTGAGGTGACATCTGAGGTGACACCTGAATAACAAAAAAGTACATGTAACTTTTTCACTTATTAAAAACATTCTCTACCGTACTTCCAATAAAGGAGGAATGAGGTAGCTAACAATTTATATAATGAGGTAACTTTTTCTCATAGAGGAGAATACAAAATTTTAAGGGTAACAGATTTCGATGGCAATAGGTTTTAAGCACTGGAAGTATGAGGGACACAAATGTTTTTCACTTTAGCCTTCATATCATCTCAGTGACAAAGGAAAAATATACAAACAGTAAACCATTAATAGCATATAATCACATGACAAAATGAACAAACAGGCCATCATCATAAAAAGTTCAGAGAAAAGATCAATGTGAACTACAGCAGTACTTCTCAAACACTAACATGCTATAAATCACCTGATACACCAGGTCAGGAGAGGGGCCTGGGATTCTGAGATACTATATTTCTCCTTTTCTAACAAGCTACCCAGGAGACTAATTCTACTTGTTTTGCTGGTCTATGGACCATATTTTATAAGTATAAAAAGTATAATGTACATGAGAAAGGTAGGATTCTAATTGGTTTGGGGAAACAAAGCAGGTTTTATATGAAAAGTTCACCAGGAAGGATTAACTTGATCTTGTCTAGGAACAAGACAACTTGACTACAACGAAGATGTGCTCCTCCATCCCAAAAGGATATACTGCGTACTGACTCTGTACACAGTACAGTAAGACACACTGACTGAGAAACCATTTCGCACAAGGAAAATAGCCATGTAATTGTCCATTAACGGTCAGATGAAGAATATACGTTATATGCATGCAATGAAATGTTATATAATAATGAAAATGAAGGAATTACAACTATTCACTCTAGAACGGACTAATCTCCATCATGGTATGAGATGAATGTATATAATTAAGACAGGAGAACATACTATAATTTCATTCATATTTATTAGTATAAACGGGCAAAACTAAAGTTGTTTAGGAACACGCTGGTGAAGCTATAAAGAAAACCAAGAAATCACTGAAATAAAGCTTACAACAGTAGTAACAGGGTGGCAAGAAGGGACGGGAGGAAAGGATGAAATGGGAAGGGTTTCTAAGATACTTGTAATGTTCTATTTCGCAAGCTGAATGGCAGATTGACAGAATGTATATTTTGTGATTATTGAAATTATGTATACAGACACTATTTTGAGTGTATATTTTTATCTTTTTCTACACTTCTTTGCTTATGTTATCAATGATCTTTTTAAAAATAAGTCGGGAAATTGGCGGTGGCATATTCTAATAGCAGCGAATTAAAGAAACAATGGAAGACTACCAATATAGACAAGTTTTGACCATGACTTTAAGAGGAAAAAAGTGGGGATTAAGAATGGAACAGAGTGCTAAGAGGCAGAGCTGAACATTTTAATATGGGTAAGTCCTGACAATACTAAGATGTTGAAGGAACGATAATGGTAAAATACAGAGGAATTGATGAAACAGGACCAAAGGTAGGAAAGGAAAGATTCAAGAACACTAGAAGAAAAATTGGTCAAAGTGCCAGAAACAAATGTGATTAAACATCAGGCTTACCAAATAGTTTTGGTGGTTAGAATGCATAGTTCCTAGGAAGCTTGGAAATGCTAGGAAGTAAACCTAAACACAACATCTTGGTGGGCCTTGAATTCACTGCGAGGTCAATGAACGTGGAATCAACAGGGTTTTCTGAGGGACTGGATGTTGAAGGTTAAAAAGAAAAAAAAAAGAACCAAGTAGGTTAACGCCTAGGTTTTCTGACTTATTCAAACTGGTAGACGATAGTTCCATTTAATAAGATGGGAGAGTCTGAGGTAGGACCAACAAGGGGGATAGAGGAATGACGGGGAGAAGTCAACAATTTTATTTTGGACATGTTAAATCTGAGGTGCCTATAAGATATTCAAATAATGATGTCAAGCAGACAGTTGGGTATTCAAGAGAGGCATACAACACCCAAGTCTGGTAAGAAAGATTATGCTAGGAATAATTTAAAGCCATGAGAAGGGACCTTAAAGAAGGTCTACTATTACTACTACAAATAATAGCAGCAGCAGCTAAGAGTAAGTGTAAACTTACTATGTCCCAGACAGTGTGCTAGTTATTAACACATTCAGCCCATTTTAATTCCCAAATCAAAGGAAAAGGAGACATAGAGATTAAGTAATTTGTCCAATGTCAATTCAACTAATTAGAGGTGAGATTCAAACCCAAGCAGTTTACCTCCAGAGGTGTGCTTTTAACTACTTTTTACACTATGTCAGGCAGAGAAGGAAGCCTAGACTCAAATCCTGAAGCACTCCAACCTTCACAGATGGGGAAAGGAGAAGCCAACATAAAAGATGTTAATTCCCATTACGCGCTTTCAGGTAAAGTTCTGAACCACAGGCTCCAAAGTGGCTCCAAAGTTAATAAATCTCCACCTGGGAAGTTACAGATGTCATAGCCCAGCAAAGAAGCATTAAAGTTTACCTTCCTCTCTCCTTCCAAAAGCCCCAGAAGTCCTAGATCCTTCTCGACACCTCCGTCACCTACTTGTCTCCCGAAAAATTCTTTCTCCAAATCCCCTCTCCCAGGCATCTCAAAACAAAACTCAAGGAACTTGTCACACACACCCTAGCCTCGGTCCCCTTCCTCAACCCTCAATTCCTCCGTCAGATGGCAGAGAAGTCTGCTGGAGTCTCCCAACAAAAAGCGAAGTTGAAAAAGGAGGATTTTAGGAAGAAACCTTCGCCCAGCCTCACCAAGCCCAAATGGGAGGCTGCCGGGAAGCGCTCTGGCGGGACCGGGCTAGGAACTACGCTCCCCACGTGGGCCTGGAGAGACGGATCCCCACTCACCAAGCCATCTATCTGCACTTGCTTGACGGCCGAATCTCCAGACCCGCCTTTGCCTTTGCCTTTTCCTGCCGCACCTGTGGTGGAGCTGGAAGAGGTGGTGGCAGAGCCGGTGCCTTCCTTGCGAGACGCCATCTTTCAGCCAGACAGGAAGAAAGGGAAATGTGAGTGCTCGGGAGCGGAAGTACAAGCTTCTCGTGACGTCATGCGCAGGCTGGCGTTTGAGGGGCGGAGCTGGGAGGAAAGATTGGCGTACGGCCCCGCCTCCCACCTGTAATCCTGCCTCCACTCTTACCCCAACGGAATCCACTGCGCATGCGCACTGTGCGCTTGCAGCTTTTTTTAAGGAATGCTCTAAGCCGAAAGTGGACTTTTTAAAATGTTTTTCATTTTATCTTTAGTCAATCTCCATTAGGCAACTGATCATAATGACATTATAGCTCACATTTATATAGCGTTCCATGAGTAAAAATGCTTTCAATTCTAATTTTTGGATTAATCTTCGTTCCCATGAACAGCTGTAGTCCCATTACACGCATTAGGAAACTGAGACGTGATTTGTCCAACGTCATTATGTTAATTAGTGGTGAGCGATTTTGCAGTTTGTCTTATGTAATTTTAGATATCGGTCTCCATATAGATTATATAGAAATTAAAACATGGGAACTTTGATCAGAATTACCAGAACTAAGTCCTTTGCTGCTATTAGTTTCATGCAGGATTTACTTAAGGACAAAGATTTTATGTAAAGTGTTGAAGGGTGGTGCAGAACGTGTTCCCTAAAAATCAGGCTGATATAACACGGTTTGAAAGACTTGTCTCAAGTTTTTAAAAGAATACTGGACAGCTTTAGAAAAACTATCTTAAATAAGGAATTTAAAACATTCTCTCCTTTCAAATACATTTTGTCTGCTTATTTTTTAAATGTTTACTCATTCAGTAAATATCTAGACAGAACTGATTAAGTAGTTACACCAATGAAGGGTATTTCCTATCCTGAAGTTTTTTATTGTGAGGGTCTGGTGTTACAGTACAATCCAGGAACAGAAATAATTACACCTGACAAATTCCTAATGATACAAAATAAAAATTAATATTCATTTTTTTCAGGTGCACATGAAATGTTTATCAAAATAGACCACAACCTGGGCCACAGAAATGTCTCCGCAAATTTAGAAGTAATTTGAAATAGAAATCAATATGATCACCCTACCTAGAAAGGGCTATGAGCAATGTCACTTGCTTCACTTGGACTCCTGGTTTCCTTCTTATCTTTCTGGCTGTTCCTTCCTTATCAGTCACCACTACTGATTTCTCTACCCTTCCCAAAGTTTAAATATTGAATAGCCCAGAGTTCAGTCCTTATATATCTTTGTTCCTGCATCTTTACTCCTATCATGGTGATCTCATCCACTCTCAAGGCTCTAAACTTCATACATATGATTCCCAAATTTATATTTCCCCAGACCTCTCCACTGAACTCCACACCAGCATGTCTATCTGCTCTTTAAACATTTCCAGTTAAATGTCTGTCACCTCCAACTGAACCTTCCCAAAATTGAGCTCCAAATGCCCCACCAAAAAAAAAAAAAAATGTTCTTTCCAATCTTCCCCATCTCTTTTGATGACAGCTCTATTCTTCTAGTTAAGACCAAAACCCTTGGGGTCATCTTCAACTCTTCTATCACACACACACGCACACACGCACGCACGCACACCTGATCCATTAAAAACTCTAGTAGGCTCCATGTCAAAATGTATTCAAAACCCATACTTCTAGGAAGAATAAGAGAGAACTTTTTCCTACCCCTCCTGATAATCACACCTAAACTCCTGGACATTATATATAAAAGAAAAATAAGAAGACTATGCAAGAAGAGAGAAGGAAGACTGGCTAGGGATGTCAGGACCCAAGGAACAACACAATGGTGATTTCCCAGGGTTTCTATTTGCCACACTTAGAGCTGAAGTCCAGTGACCTAGAAACACCAACAAGGACAGACAAAAAAAAGCTCCAGCAAAAGTCTGCTCTCTGCACACATCAGCGGAGACCATGTGGGAGTTTAAACTTTCACCCTTGCCAGACAGTAATGAGACAGCCACTCTCTCCCCCAATGGTGTGATGTCAGAAAAGGCCTACTGGTAAGTCAGAATTTCACAACAGCAGTAAGGACACCACCAGCCCATGAAGGAAAACATGGAGAGCAGTAACAAGGAACTCCTACACCAAGGAAGTATCAGTGGCGGTCCAGTGGGAGCTGGAACTCCCATCCCTCAGCAGTAACGAGGAACTAGTCCCACTCCTAGGGAGTCTATGGAGGCTGAACATAGAACTTCTATTTGTACCCTCATAGGGCAGTACCAGGAAGAACTCCCTCCATCCATCACCAGAGCTGGGTCAGAGGAAGCCAGCTAAAACAGAAGGTCACAAGATCCAAAGTTCCATAACAAAATACTCAAAAGTCTATGCTTCACTAAAAAAAAAATATAACCATCTCATCAAGAACCAGGAAGATCTGAAACTGAATGAAAAAAGGCAATAGATGCCAGCACTGAAATGACAGAGGTGTGAGAATTATCCAAAAAGTTTTTAAAGCAGCCACCATGCAATGTTTTAACTGTTACAGACACACTTGAAATAAAAAGTTTCAGCAAAGAAATTGCAAGTCGCAATCAAGATATAAAATATATAAATAGAAACCAAAAGAAAATTTAGGACTTAAAAAATATAATAACTAAAAAATAAAAAAAAATAAAAAACAAGTGGATGGGCTTAACAGCAGAATGGAAAAGACAGAGGGGGAAAAACCAGTGGACTGGAGATAGAACATAGAAATTACCCAGTCTGTACACAGATTAATAGAATAGAAAATGATCACTGTGGGAAACTGTATGGCAGGTCCTCAAAAAATTAAACACAGAATTACCAAATGATCCAGGAGTTCTATGTCTAGGTATGTACTCAAAATTATTGAAAGTAGGGACTCAAACTCATATTTGTACACCAATGTTTACAGCAGCATTACTCATAGTAGTCAAAAGGTGGAAACAACTCAATGTCCTTCAACAGATGAATAAATGAACAAAATGTGATGTATACATACAATCGAATATTATTCAGCCTTAAAAAGAAACAGAAATATCGTACATGCTACAATGTAGATGAACCCTGAAAACGTTTTGCTAAATGAAATAAGCCAGATACAAAAGAACAAATACTGTGTGATTCCATTTATATGAAGTACCTAGAATAGTCGAATTTGTAGAGAAAAAAATTAGAATAGTGGTTACCAGGGCCTGAGAAGAAGAAGAATGGGGAGTTATTATTTAATGGGTCTAGAGTTTCCATTTAAAAAGATGAAAAAGTGGTAATGGCTGCACACAATGTGAATGCATGTAATGGCACTGAAATGTGCATCTAAAAAACATTTAAATGTTAAAGTTTACGTTACTTTACCGCAATAAAAAACAAAGTGGATTGGAACAAAAAATGCACAGAGCCTTGAGCAACAGTGGGACTATAAGAAAAAATATATAGCTATCCTGTCATTGGAGTCTCACAAAGAGACAAGAAAGCGAGCAGGGGTTAAGAGGTATTCAAAGTAATGATGAATGAAAACTTCCCAAATCCTAGAGGGAAAGTCATAACTTATAAATTCAAGAAGCTCGAGTGAACTCCAAAGAGACTACATCCAAAGAAACTCACATCAAAACAGCACAGTTAGATTTCTGAAAGCCAAAGAAAAAATCTTGAAAGCAGTGAGAAAGAAACAATGCCTTACTTATAAGAGAAAAACAATTAGAATTAAAGTAGATTTCTCCTCAGAAACGACAAGACCAGAAAGAAGTTGCATAATATTTTTCAACTGTTAAAATAAAAAGAATTCTCAACCCAGAAACCTACATTCAGCCAAATTATTGTTAAAGAATAAAAAGGAAATAAAAACATTTTGGATGAAAATAACTGAGAGAATTTGTTTCTAGCAGACCTACCCTAAAAGAATGACTAAAAGTTCTCTAAAAGGAAAAGAAACAGTAAAAAAAAAAAAAAAGAAACTTGGAACATCACTAAGGAAGAAAGACCACAGTAAACAAAAATATGGATAATTACAGTAGATTTTCCTTCTCCTCTTGAATTTTATAATATATTTTCAAGGGTTAAAGCAAAAAAATATAACAGTATCTAGTGTAGTTCTAAATGTATGTAGAGAAAATATTTAAAACAATTACATTATTAAAAGGAGTTGGTTAAGAGACATATAGGAAGATAATTTTTCTACATTTTCACTGGTAAAATGACTCAACAGGAATAAGTTATTCAAAGTTAATATAGTAGCTAGGAAACCACTAAAAAGCTTTATCAAGGGGTACACTCAAAAACACCCTAGATAAGTCACTATAAAATGTTAAAGAATATTTAATAACCATAAGAACACAATAAAAATAAAACAGAAATAAAAAGAGAGGGAATAAATAGAAAAAATAAAATAAAATAGCAGCGTTAAGCCTAAATATATCAATAATTATATTAATATAAATGTTCTAAATATACCAATTAAAAAACAACTATTGATAGAATGGATAAAAACATGACTTAAACCACAAGCTGTCTAAAAGAAACTCACTTCAAATATAATGATGTAGTCATATTGAAAATAAAACGATGGAAAAAACAGATCATGCAAACATTAATCAAAAGAAAGTGAGAGTGGGTACCTTAATATCAGATAAAGGAGAATTCAGAGCAATGAAAATCACCAGAGACAAGGAGAGATTTTATAACTATAAAATGGCCAATCACCAAAAATACCTCGCAATTCTAAATGTGTATGCCCCCCCAAAAGAGCTAAATTTATGTGAAGAAAAATTCTTGCAACTTTTCTATAAACAAAACTACAGTCATAGTTGGAGACATCAACTCTCCTCTCTCAACAGTTGATGGAAGAACTAGAAAGAAAATGAGCGATGATGTAAAGGAACTAAGCAACATCAA